TTTGGGGACACTTTCTCTCTAGACTGCTAACAGACATGTGTAAAATGTTGACCTATTCTTATACGTGGTGTAAGATAAATGCACAGTGTGGAATAAATATGTTCTCCTGGTATCGAAAAGAAAAAGAAAAAAAGAAAAACAACAAATAAATATAAAGACGCTCTCCTATCTTTTTGAAATAAAAAATGTGTTTCTATTTATGAGCTGATCAGCATGAGCCTTAGAATTCTACCTTGCATATGTCTGACCAACTCAATGATATCACATAATGAAAAGTAGGGAAGTTGTGCTTCTGTGAATCCAGTCATTGGCAGTTTATAAGGGATGCCTATGATTTATTTTCCCCCAGTCTACACAGGCAGTCATAGTTCCTTGCTTCCAGGACACTAGGCTATGTTTTGAGAGTCAACTAATTTGCAGCACATTGAAGTCAATCTGATTGCTAAAAAGATGATTGTTAGCAAGTTGTTAAATCTTTCAGTAGCAAAAACTTTTAACCAGCTGTGTAGTCCTAGTGTGAGACCATTCAGATTAAAATTCAGTAGCTAACATCTAAAAAAATTACCTCAACTATTTTTCTGATTTAAAAAAAATCAAGAAACATTTATTGTTCTGTACAAAGTCCTTTGCTGTATTTTCCTGAGTTAGCCTAGCTTTTTCAATCTGCAACAAAATTCACAACTAGAAAGAATTAAGTGCTGACATTAAGGCTGCAGGAAAAAGAAGACCTAATGCAGACACTTACTTAGACTACTTAAAGTGTTACTAAACCCCGGACCCTGCATTCACTGTATCTGATCACCCACATTACACACAACATGGAACTGCAATTATTTTAGTAAATATAAACTACTAAATATATACATATTATATATTATAATATATAATATTATGAGAATACCTTTTCTCATCAGCAGTTAAAGCAGTCTTGTGACTTCAGCAGAGCACTGGTTAAAGCTTGTAGGAGGAGTTTTCTTTCTGCTCTACAAGGATTAAAAACCCCTGGCCTCTCTCTGGACAGTGCTGATTGGCCCTCTGCTGATCACATGCACTCTCCCAAGAAAACAAAACTCTCTAGCAATACACACTAAATTGAACATGTGCATGTGACTACAGGTTCAATCTGCCTTATCAGGAGGAAATTTGAACAAGAGGAGGGGCAGAGAAAACAGGACCAAGCAGCCTTTTTACAAAATGCAGAGGATTAACCCCTTAGGTTCCACAGTGAGTATATCAAGCATGCTTTACTGTATATACAGACTGATTTTACTGATGTGGGTTTAGTAACACTTTAAAATTTTGGGGCCCATTCATATATGAGCCACAGTGTGCAAACAGCAGTATCTCACAGAGTTCATAAACCCCCTGGTGCTGGCGCCTCCTGGACCTTTAAGGGGTTTGTGACACTGGGAGGTGGGACAGAGTTTAGGGTCATGTGACCACCGTGATTAGCTATCACAGCAATCACATGATTATAAAGCTCCTGATTGCAAGTAGTAATTGGGACCTTTCTATGAGGCCAGTAAATGTTCTGGGAGTGCACATGGGGTGCGCTCTGGGCATATGTTTGTTTACATTGGGTACACAAATATTCAGCTTCTCAGTATCAAGGCCCAGCCACCAAGAGGCCGCATATTTGTGTACCATCGTCACCAAGGAGCTAAAGCAGTATTAAACCCAAAAACCAAAATGTATTATATTGTAGCTTATCAATCATTAGATGTAATCAGTTTTTATTTTCTTTGTCTTTTTTCCCTTTTTTTTACCTGGTGATCTGGCCAGTAACACACCTCATGTATTAGTGAGACCCCACTCTGGAGGAATAGCTACAGAAAACACATCAGAGAGCAGCATTGTCAGTCTGGGGGGATGGAAGTGTTAAATGCATTAGCAAATTTGAATACAATACAACTGAAGCCAAACTCCAGTAAACACTTTATAATCAGTTACAGCAAACATTTTTTTTTCCTTTTGGAATAAAGGTTTTACATGAATAAATAAAAGCTGACCATTTTAATACCCCTGCCAGTGTTGACTGGTCTTATCGATCTGGTCTTCTAAAAAACAACAGACTTACTGGCAGATGAAAATAGAAGAAAGAAAGCCCAAAAAAGGAAATGAATGCAGCTATCACATCTAAGAATCGGTAAGCTGCAATATAATAAATATTTGCTTTTGGTTTTAATACTGTTTTAAGCACCTCCCATCCGGCCAATGTATATAAACGGCCAGACGGTAGCAGTGCAGGGTCGGGTGACCATTTATAAATGGCCTCCCTGCCCCCTGCTTGTGCGCGCACCCTTCACAAGTAGTACAGTGTCACCATGGTGACACTGTACTGTTAGGGTGACAGTATGTAAAAAAAAAAAAATTGGGTTATTTTTTTTTTTGTTTACTAAAAAGATAACGGAATACATTTTGGCCACGATTTATGATGAAATACTATTTATTTGCAAAATTGCATAAGAAAAATACTTTGTTTCAAAAATTTTGGACATTTTCATTTACATAGCAAAAAAATAAATATCCCAGTGGTGAATAAGTACCACCAAAATAAAGCTTTATCTGTCTCAAAAAAATGCTAAAAAATTCATATGTGTACAGTATTACATGACCGCGCAATTGTCATTCAAAGTGTGATAGCGCTGATAGCTGAAAATTTGCCTGGACAGGAAGGGAGTAAAAGTGTCTGGACTAGAAGTGGTTAACACAAGCAATAATGTGACCCAGCTCTCCTTCCATATTTATTTTTGTTTCCGTTATTCATTTTTATTGTGTTGTGCTTGCTTTGAAATCCAGAAGAAGGCAGAGAAACAGAGACAAATATATACTTGTAAAGCAAAACTCCATGTTTTATAAAGGTGCAGTTCTGCTCTCTCTCCTTTTTTTAAGCAGGGGCATGGCCATAATGTAGCCACTTTGTACATGGACCCTTATGTCTTATTTTCTTACTTTTTTAGGCTGACTGAATTTAATTCTTTGACTGCACTTTGCTGACAATTTTGCTGTCTCTAAATATCCCTTTATTTTTAAATAATCTCTTTTATTGCTCTTGGCTAAACAAGGTCTCCAAATTTTTCATTTAAGAAGCAAAAAATGTATACAATAATATAATATAATATTATAATAATATTTTTCTGTCTTCTGCTGTAATTGGTATTGACAAAGCAAACCACTTTTCAGATAAGGTGAACAGTTATTGTTTAAATATTTATTCAGCCTAAATCTGAGGTACAATCTGGAGGTCATCCATGTAGGTGTCTGTTCGGTGGCCCAGAAAAAAGGAGTCACATGACCTTCCATGCCTTATTTTATTCTCCTGTGCACTGGTGGAGAGGTGTCAGATGATTGATACTTTGCATAAATCGTTGCCTAGTCCATGCTAATACACACAGCTTTGCCTAAATGGATCAGTCTAAGATGGTAAACCAGATGCTGGATGTTACATGTGCTTGTAGTCCAGATCACAATAGACAACATTACTCATAAGTCCGAGCTACCCTTTAAAACTGATCCTGTACAAGTGCAGCAATGCAACACATTTTATCAGTTAGGACAATAAGATATTCAGAAGTATTCACCAAGAAACAAAAACTGCATTTACATAACAAGAGTAACATAGCAACTTACAGAGTTCTTCCAATGTGCACTGGCAGAAGGAGGGAGTGACTCTCTGCAGATAACCCATGCTCTCATCCATGTGAAATGACTTCAGTCTATCAAGAATGCTGCTGTCAGACTCATTCACCTTACCAACCATTCAATATCTGCCATCCCTCTCTGCCAAGTCCTCCCTTGGCTTCCCATTGCCCAGTGAATACAATTCAAAACATTAACGATAACATATAAAGCCATTTATACATCTGCCCCAAATTACATCACCAATATTCTCTCCAAATATCACTCAAATTGTTCCTCCCATGACCTCCTGCTCTCTAGCTCCCTTGTCTCCTCCTCTCATGCTCATCTCCAGGACTTCTCCAGAGCCTCCCCCATCCTCTGGAACTCTCTACCCCAATCTATCCTACTATTGCCTACTCTGCCCACTATAAGGTGATCTCTGAAAACCTATGTCTTCAGGGAAGCCTATCCTGCCTTCAGCTAATAACCAAATCTTCTATTTCTCCTATCAGTCCATCTCCCACAGTTATTACCTTTTGTACCATCAGCCCCTCCCTCTTAGATTGTAAGCTCCAAGGAGTAGGGCCCTCCTACCCTTTTTGTATTGAACTTTATCATCAATGTATTGTATCCCTTTATATTGTAAAGTGCTGAGCAAAATGTTGGCGCTATATAAATCTAGTATTATAATAATAATAATAATAAAAACTTGTTGGTATCTACATTTACAGTCCAGATCACACTGCATAGACACTACTGCAAACAAAGAGGGCAAGCTTTCTCATCCACACGAAACTGAAAGCTGTGTTCACTCATATGGGACACAGGAGCAGTGATTGAAACCCTAAGTAGAACAGGTGGCATATCTGTGATGCTCAAACGGTCCTGTGGGAACATTCTGCAATATCCCTTGTTGGAGAGGGGATTTAAAAGCAGCACATTTTTTAACCACTAAAGGTACATAAGGCAAATAGACTGTTCATTTTGGAAGGAAAGTTGTACCCAGAGCTTAGTGAATGACGTTTTTTTCAGCTTTGCTGACTTCTATTATCCAATCTCATGCAAGCAAAAATGTTGTTTATTATTTTTTTTTTGCATATTATTGGTCATTCTTTGCAAAATGAAATGTCACCATTTTCACCAAGTTCTGGGGGAAAATTCCCTTGGAAAGTGTAAATGCTTTTACAAAGTGAACAGCCTATTTGTCTTTAACCACATGCCGCCCAGCCACTGTAGAAATACGACGGCAGGGCGGCACGGCTGGGCAAAACCACGTTTTAAAACGTGTGTTTTTAAAACAGGTAGGGGGCGCGGCTATGTCCCGGCGATTATCGGCAATCAGTGACAGAGAGCACTGCTGCAGTAGTTGTGCTTTCTGTCAGTTCCCTGACAGCACCTGACACGCTAATTGGGACAGAAGAGTTTATCTGTCCTGATCAGCGGTGTTCCCTGCAGTACACACCCCTGCCCCCTAGTAAAACACTCCCCTCACACAGTTAACCCTTTCACTGAATAATAAAGTTGACCCCTTCCTCCCCAGTGTCATTAGTACAGTGTCAGTGGGTTTTTTTTTTGCACTGATCACTGTATTGGTGTCACTGGGGATGTCAGTGACCCCAAGTCAGTTCCCCCCTAGTGTCAGAATATCTGCCGCACTCCAGCCATAAGTCGCTGATTGCCGCCATAAGTCGCTGATCGCCACCATTATTAGCATAAAAAAAATTAAAAATCCCAGTATCTTTCCCGCCATTTGTAAACACTATAACTTTCAAGTAAACCAATTAATTTACACGTATTGGGTTTTTTGTAGCAAAGACATGTCGCAGAATGCATTTTGGCAGAAATTTATGACTAAATTTGATTTTTAATTTTTTTTTTTACTGGACATGTTTTTTAGCAAAAAGTCCAAAATATTGTTTTTTTTCCTCAAAATTCTCAGCCTTTTTTTTATAGAGCAAAATACCACCGAAAGAAAGCTCAATTTGTAGGAAAAAAAAGGATGTAAATTTCATTTATGTACCGTATTGCATGACCGTGCAATTGTCCGTTAGACTAGTGCCGCGCTATATAGCAAAAAAATGGCGTAAATTGCAGTATCTATACCATAGTTTGTAGACGCTATAACTTTCACACAAAGCAATCAATATACACTTATTGGGATTTGTTTTACCAGAAACATGTAGCAGAATACATTTTGGCCTAAATTTATAACTAACTTTGAGTTTTACTATATATTTTTTATAGCTGAAAGTAAAAAAAGGGGTATTGTTTTCTTCAAAATTTTTGGTCTTTTTTTGTTATAGCGTGAAAAATAAAGTTCGATCTACGGGTATCTTCGCCCTTTCTTCAAGCGCCCAGGTGATCAAATACCACCGAAAGAAAGCTCTATTTGTGTGAAAAAAAAGGACGTAAATTTTGTTTGAAAGCAGCATTGCATGACCGCGCAATTATCGGTTGAATTAGTGCAGCGCCGTGTAGCAAAAAGAGGCCTGGTCATTAAGGGGGTAAATCCTCAGGAGGGCAAGTGGTTAAAATCAACCCCCACTGGCTCAAACAATGCAGCATTCACACCTTGCTATATATGTGAGCTAGTAATAACAGCTGTTGCTTTCAATGTACAGTATGTAGGAAGTCTGGCAGAAATTTTCATTGGCCACATGAAGTGTCAGCAACACTCTGGGTCATATTAAACAGATAAAAACTTGATTTACTAGGAATGTATTATTATATTTCACATGCTGTAGTAAAGTGCCATTCCCCTGTTTCTAAAAATTGCAATAGAAAACATTGAACATGTATCTATTTTTTTTAAATATACCATTAAAAAAGCAAAAAAAAAGAGCTTAGATAGCTATATATTTTTTTTATATTACTCAGCTGTAAAAATGGGTACATTGGCATTGTTGCGGAGGTTGTGGGTCGGCTGAGTAGTATTATTTGGTGTGGCGTGGTTGGTAACTGTTTTTTGTGGGGGGGTGGGGGGTAATTCAACCCCACGTTGCTTTGGGTTTCGGTGGTGGGGTTTTTGGGGAAAGTTTAATGGATGTATTGGAAGTTTGGGTGGTGATTGATGTTGTATGGGTTGGGCTATATTAATTTCTAACTAATGAATATGTCACACCTTTTCCTGACACTGCTCACTGTGTATAACTATTCATACCTCTCATTATAATAAATATCAAGTCAATGTAGTGTCAAATCATCTACATTTATTTTCTGCAGAGCTTATCTAGTTGTTAATTGATTCCTCAGCAGTAACCAGGACTTCCTTTCCATAATAATTGCTTAAAGCGTAAATTGTTTTAATATAGTAGGCATCATCTTCAAGCTATTTTGACAAAGACTGATATATAATGATCTGGGAGGTCAGAATACTCTTTTTCTCTCTATGATTAGTACAGAAACATTAAAATAACTCAGCAGACAAAATGTTACATTGCATTTTTTGCTCTCTGAAGGTGACTGTCATCTAATATAATAAATATTTAATTAGAGGCCTCTTAAGACCTTAAGGCAAAATGATTCATTTGATTCTATTAATGGACACAGAAAAATATGTTTTTAGTGGTACACAAATAAGAATATTTAAACTTTTTATTGGAAAAATATGCTTTGAATATGTTCTTAATAAATAAACTACAGTCAGACAATGCCTAAAGTTGATGAGCAATCAGAATACATGGAAGTTCAATTATATGTTAAAGTTTTAAATGAAAGAATCAAATAGATGAAAAATGCCTTTATTCTGAGGATTGCTGGTGGACTTAGTAAACCAACAACTTATTTTAACTTTTGGGTACTCTGGTTGACAACGAACTCCTCACTTGAATTTCTCATACTTGCCTATTAACATTTTCCATCAATGCAGGCAGAAATAGACAGGCTGAGTGAACAAAATCTCAGTAAAAGAAGTTAGAGAAGTGAGGGTGTGTCTTAATGGCCACAGTTAGGATGCATCAGGAAATTCAGATAATGATTTAACTAATTCAAATCTGGCAGGGCATGTAAATCACTGACTTCTACAACAAAGAGGACCTGTGTGATTAGAAATCTGGAGACTACCAATGCTAAATTCTTTACAACCTCTTATTGGTTCACTCAATCTCTAAGGCCTGTGTCAATTCCCAGCTTTTGTGTCAAATCCCAGCTTTTGACAATTCCCAGCTTTTGTGTCAAATCCCAGCTTTTGACAGTTCTAAGGTCATTTAGAATTATTTGACATGTGCAGTTGATCCCCTTATGACTTGTATTTAAACAGCTTCACGTTTTTTTTTTTTTTTCATAGACTTGTATGGGGACAGAAGTAATTTTTATAAGAATAAAAGTCTGTCTACATAGGACCAAACTATATTCTCCCAGAAAGATGCCTATGCCAACAGTAGCATTTTTGCTTCAGTAGGAGTACACAACTGCAGGATCAGACTATTATTACTTAAGGGCATTGCAAAATTAATTAGCCCTGGTTCAAATTGGATCCCACTTTGAAATCATGCGACTTCACTTGAAGTCCCAAAATTTCAAAGCTGCATGTCAGTGAAACTTCAGGTGCGACTTGGCAGACAGCTTTGTGACTCTATTTATGGATGTCTATGCAAGTTGCACCTGAAATTACAAAAAGAAATTGTGCAGGAGCCTTCTTATTTCAAATCAGTGTGACACTGCAAAATCAAAGTTGCACTGATTCGACCAGTTCCATTGCCGACAATTAGCTGCAAACCAGTGTGAACCAGGGCTTAGGAATCACTTAGAGTGATTTTTGATCATGTTGTCATTATTATTAATTAATCGTGGTCAGTACTTTATTACAGAGACTACTGTGACAATCTTTCCCTGTTTGCACTCATGCAATATACTCCATGTAGTCTTGTGTCCTAAAAAGAAGAATGGACGTTGATCTGTATATTTCTGGATCACATAATTACCATGGTTAGCCAATCATAGTGATCGCAGGGGAAGTTTAGCTAATTTTTTTCAGAAACTAAGTTTCTCTTTGCTTGCAATTCCATGATCACTTCTTTCCTTTGCAATGAAATAAAGAGATTAGATTACCAGTTGAGAAAATGTAAAAAATGTTGATTGTTGAAAATTACAATTGCAGAAATGTATTTATTGTTTATCAGAATCGCTCTTGTGGTGGTCATAGACAGGGACAAATGTTTCACCCAAAGAACAAAAAGTGAGCCATTTACGTCTACTCAGCAAACTCAGGGCACACCAATATAAAACTTGATCTTCCTACCAATCCTGTAGGCAAATATCTGCAGGACATGCATGATCACATGGGGAAAGCTTTATTACCTTTTATCCACTGAAAAGTATCAAATTAACTGCTTGTTTTAGAGACTTTTTTCAGCACATTTGCATATCTTTTTGTACAAATAATATTTTCCAAATTGTTGAAAATACTTGCTTGAGGTGATTGTAGCCGTATTAGTGCATTTGCGACAGAAACAATTGAGTACTGTCCGTGATACTTTTTTTATTTGCACTAACATACAATTTTGAGGACCAGCTTTCAGGGTATGTCCCCTTCTTCAACATCCAAGCAGTACTATACAAATCACAAAGTTTTAGCAGGATGTTAGAAGAGATGAAAAAAAAAAAAGAGGCTAGAGATACTAAAATCCCACAGCTATATGGCCAGGTTGCCACAAATGATATGGAATGCTGAAATCCTTTATTTTTATCAGGTCAAGTATGGCTATCCTCAGGCTGGAAACAGACAGGTAGAAGTCTCACTTAGAATATTAGGCAGTGAGGAATCTTAAAACCAGTCACTGCAAACATTTTTTTTTCCCGTCTTTTTATTGGAAATATTAAAGTGTAGAAATGACAAAACAGAGCCTATTGGGCATACCCAGGCTCACGGTATTACAAAAAACAACAACAGTACAGCTTATAAAACATCTAAAAGGCACTTTAAGTGGAGCAGGAGGAACCAGTCCACAGGGCAAGCATCTCCTGATAGCTGGTCAGAATAGCACCCCAGAACAGTGGACTATGACAACACATAGACATAATGATCTAAATGGGAGAAAATCCCTTCTACATATAACACTCCATCAGAAACCTCCTACTATACAGCAAGGTCAAATTGCAGCCTTCCAGCTGCTGCAGAACTGCAAATAATGTAACGTAATGCCACATGGAACTTGTAGTTCTGCAACAGCTGGATTTGACACCCCTGCTATACAGGGTTGGATTCTGGAGCAGCCATGGTGGCAGGAGTGTCAAGTTAGATATCTCAGACCTTGGCAAATTTCCTGGGGCAACCCCTAGACTCATACATATATTTGTAAAGTGGAATGGCCAGGTTCACTGCAATCACTTTTGAAAAATTTTTGTGATAGCAATTAGTATTTGAGGATATTTGCCTTATTTTTCTCCATCAATCAGAAAAAAAAAAAAAACATATATATATATATATATATATATATATATATATATATATAACAAAGGCCCCTTCCTTTAAAA